ATAGCCTACCATACCTGTCGGTTTGAATTCTTTTGTACAACGAAACTGTTTGCGCAACGCGTTGTGTAGTGTGTGTGTTGCACTTCGTTATGCAATATTTTAGTTCTTTCATCCTAATTCTTTGTTTTCTTTTTCGTTTTTTGGTAACATCGACATCATCTATATAGGGCACATACCTTAGACAAGGAAAGAGAGGGGACAGCTAACACGCAGATTCTCCAGTGAAAAATTTTTGAAGCCAAAATTTGATCGGCGGCCATACTTTGGTGACAAGCTTTCGAGGTGACACCAAGCGAATTTTTATATTTTTTGTGAATACTGTTTTGTTTTAAATTTATAAACTGTGTTGTTTAGTATGTGGTGAGATGTTTAGCGTATGGCTGCAAAGGCTGAATGGAGAAAAAAATGACTGGAATTACATTTTACGGGTAAAAGTTGATACACAACTTGTGCTATGTAGTCATAAAATGTACATTTTTTTCATTATAGCAGTAAAAATATGTAAAATGCTTTTAATATGTCTTGTACCACATCCAAAGCAAATTATTTTTATTAATTCCAAGTAGTATTTTCAATATCCTATACTATAATTGATATTTGAAACTATAAATAATGCTACTCAGACAAGATTCCTCCAGTGGCGTAGGGTATTATAATCAGAGAAATACAATTTCTGCAATAAACATTTTTTTATATATTTTACATGTATAAAGTATTGTTATCAAATATGTAAAATAATAATTGTAAACTATAGAAAAAAAACATGAAAAATTTTGGTTATAAAAAATCCATATGTATAGTTGTTACATAAAACTTAAATTTACCTGCCAAGATTTGCTGGGGGTGGACAAACTTGTGGTAGGGTACTTGATACAATATTTTTTGAAATATCCTTTCAAAAAATTTGCTAGTTGATTTGCTAGTAGGTGTATAATAATAGTTTCAATGAGTAATTAATAAAAATTTAAAAATAAATAAATAAAATAACACAATGCTTCTAGAATTCTTTTATTTTTTTGCGGAAAATTAGGATATTCTTATGATTGAAGGTAACAAATATTAAAAATTGCATTATCCATTGAATCCGTAGGCAAGTGCGAAGGGTATTGGCTAGATTCATTATTATACCGTATGATCGAAAAAAAAAAACGGCGTCCAGTTGACTTGTAAACGACTGTCAATGACATTCCTCTCAGTCTTCTTTCGATGTCATTTTATTTAGTTTTTATGTCATTTTATATGTAGTATAATTCTATAGGGAATGTCATCGATCGTCATTTCCAAACAAACAGGATGCCGTTGTTTTTCGATCATACGGTATACATGTATGTATACCGTATGATCGAAATATGTATGTATGTATATACACGTTTAAAACATATATATTTACATGATTTTTATGTAATTATACATTATACACACGTTAATAAATAAATAATTGTCTTGATGATCAGTTCACTGTGACTGCTAAATAAATTTTGCATTATCGGCTTAGATATTTTAATATTATAAAGGTGGGACTATAAAATACAAAACTGTATATTCATTACTCAAAAATAAACGATATATTAGTTAACGTTTTAATAATTTTTTTTATCGTTTAGGTACAAGCTAATTTCTGATGCTACGCCATTGGAGAATTTCGAGTGGTGACCATAGACAAACTAACAAAAGCAAGACGCGTCAACGCTGTACTGCAAAACGGTAACAAGTTTGATAAGAGTTTATTACCGCGCTTGCGTCAACTGGCCTTTTAGACGAGGACGGTTTACTTATGGATTGTGTATTTTGTAGTAGCCTTTCAGACAAGGATGTTTAATTAAAAAGCGTTTATTAAAATCAAATAAATTTATTTCCATCGGTAAAATAAACAATAATTTCTGGACATAACAGATATAAAAACAAAAGTTAAATAAACGAAAACGTATTCCTCTTATTAAAATAACAAAAAAGATGATAAAAAAACAACAGTTATGGTAAACG